TAGACTATAGACTAGACTATAGACTAGACTATAGACTAGACTATAGACTAGACTATAGACTAGACTATAGACTAGACTATAGACTAGACTATAGACTAGACTATAGACTAGACTATAGACTAGACTATAGACTAGACTATAGACTAGACTATAGACTAGACTATAGACTAGACTTTAGACTAGACTATAGACTAGACTATAGACTAGACTATAGACTAGACTATAGATTAGACTATAGATTAGACTATAGACTAGACTATAGACTAGACTATAGACTAGACTATAGACTAGACTATAGACTAGACTATAGACTAGACTATAGACTAGACTAGACTATAGACTAGACTATAGACTAGACTATAGACTAGACTAGACTAGACTATAGACTAGACTATAGACTAGACTATAGACTAGACTATAGACTAGACTATAGACTAGACTATAGACTAGACTATAGACTAGACTATAGACTAGACTATAGACTAAACTATAGACTAGACTATAGACTAAACTATAGACTAGACTATAGACTAGACTATAGACTAGACTATAGACTAGATTATAGACTAGCCTATAGACTAGACTATAGGCTAGACTATAGACTAGACTATAGACTAGACTATAGACTAGACTATAGACTAGACTATAGACTAGACTATAGACTAGACTATAGACTACACTATAGATTAGACTATAGACTATAGACTAGACTATAGACTAGACCATAGACTAGACTATAGACTAGACTATAGACTAGACTATAGACTAGACTATAGACTAGACAATAGACTACACTATAGACTACACTATAGACTAGACTATAGACTAGACTATAGACTAGACTATAGACTAGACTATAGACTAGACTATAGACTAGACTATAGACTAGACTATAGACTAGACTATAGACTAGACTATAGACTAGACTATAGACTAGACTATAGACTAGACTATAGACTAGACTATAGACTAGACTATAGACTAGACTATAGACTAGACTATAGACTAGACTATAGACTAGACTATAGACTAGACTATAGACTAGACTATAGACTAGACTATAGACTAGACTATGACTATAGACTAGACTATAGACTAGACTATAGACTAGACTATAGACTAGACTATATGACTAGACTATAGACTAGACTATAGACTAGACTATAGACTAGACTATAGACTAGACTATAGACTAGACTATAGACTAGACTATAGACTAGACTATAGACTAGACTATAGACTAGACTATAGACTAGACTATAGACTAGACTATAGACTAGACTATAGACTAGACTATAGACTAGACTATAGACTAGACTATAGACTAGACTATAGACTAGACTATAGACTAGACTATAGACTAGACTATAGACTAGACTATAGACTAGACTATAGACTAGACTATAGACTAGACTATAGACTAGACTATAGACTAGACTATAGACTAGACTATAGACTAGACTATAGACTAGACTAGACTATAGACTAGACTATAGACTAAGACTAGACTATAGACTAGACTATAGCTAGACTATAGACTAGACTATAGACTAGACTATAGACTAGACTATAGACTAGACTATAGACTAGACTATAGACTAGACCACAGACTAGACAAGAGATAGACTACATTATAGATAAGATAATAAACTAGATTATAGACTAGACTATAGACTTGACTGTAAACTAGATTATAGACTATACCATAGACTATAGGCTATTTTAATTATAATCATTACTATAGTAAGGACTATAGTCACGATTATAGCTAAGTCTATAGTCATGACTAAATTAAAGTTAAATTGACACTAAAGACGTAACAAATAAAATTATTAATGATTTTATAAATCTTTCATGTATGACTCTCTAGTGAATGAATAAAATATAAAAATACACTAAAAGAAGAAAAAACATTTAATAAGTTTTAGTGGTTAAACAATAAACCGCCTTTTATAACGAACACCGCAGATAAAAACAAATTTTAGTTTTTCTTATGAAATTTCTCTATAAATATTAAAAATAAAAAATAAATTTCATAACTGAGGTAATTTTATATAATAAAAAATCATTTTTTAAATTTTACATTTAATAATAATTAAATTGTTCTAGGAATTGCAAACAATTTTTATATTTAGTTCAGCAAAATAATTGAATTGTTTTTCATAAAAATAAAAAGTACCTTTACGAAATGTGTTCAGGAAGATAGAAGCTGTAAAATTCTGAGAAATCTCTATAATTATTATTATTCATATAAATAGATTAATAATAAACTATTTGATTGGACGTGGAATTGTTTTGTTTAGATTAAAAAAAAAACAAACTTAACAAAATAATCGCATTATTGAGTTAAAACATGAAATGCAACTCTGTTAGCAAACGCCTGTCGTTTACATTTCGCTTGAAATGCTAATTCATTCTGATTTATTTCTAAAACTCACATATAAAATAATTTAAGATTTTACAACTGCAAATCGCAATATATTTTTTTATTATAATATCTTTAGGATTGACATGAAAGATGGTCATAAATCATATTTTTAAATAGTATTATTAATCTTAATCACTCACTTACTGTCTTGTATAGTGGTTTTTCATACTTTTGCAAGATGACGACTAATTGTCTGAAGTGTTATTAAAATTGTTTATTTATTTATAAATAATTAACATCTTTATTAGTTAAATACAAATGGACGAGAAAAAAAAGACAAAAGAAAATTGTTGTGCCTTTTATTAAAAAGTTATGATGAATGGAAGATTTATTTCTTATAAATAAATAATGAAATAATAAGTTTTAGCAGAAAAAGGAGACCAGAGAGTGAGAGAAGAGATAATAGATAAACAATAATAGTAATTAAATTAATTAATAGGAAAATTTCCTTTTACTCACGAGGTTTTTGAAGAATTACAATTATGATTCAATAAATTTACTCGACTATGGTCACGTCTTGTCTATACACATGTTTATTGATTCGATAAAAGCCATGTCGATTTAATTGACTATAATTAAATTTATAATGATTATAATCCAATCTATAGTTCGGACTATAGATTTTAGTACACACTAATAACTGGACTATATTCCAGACTATGGATTAGGCTCTAATCCAAACTGCAGTCTAAACTATGTTGTAAATTATAGACTAGGCTATAGTACACACCAAGTATTAGACTAAACACTAGTATATACTACATAGCATCTAGTCTAATCTAGTCTATAGACTAGACTGTTGTCAAGACAATAGTCCACACTATGTATTATACTGTCGACCATAACTTACACTTAAGTACGTATTGTCAACTAGACTATAGTTTCGAACAGACTAGGTTATAATCCGGACTTTTAACTAAACTATATACTAAACTGTATTTCAGTCAATAGATTTGACAATAGATTACAGACTAGATTATAGAATAGACTATAGACCAGACAACAGACTAGAATATAGACTAGACTATAGACTAGACAATAGACTAGACTATACACTAGACTATAGAATAGACTATAGACTAGACTATAGACTAGACTATAGACTAGACTATAGACTAGACTAGACTATAGACTAGACTATAGACTAGACTATAGACTAGACTATAGACTAGACTATAGACTAGACTATAGACTAGACTATAGACTAGACTATAGACTAGACTATAGACTAGACTATAGACTAGACTATAGACTAGACTATAGACTAGACTATAGACTAGACTATAGACTAGACTATAGACTAGACTATAGACTAGACTATAGACTAGACTATAGACTAGACTATAGACTAGACTATAGACTAGACTATAGACTAGACTATAGACTAGACTATAGACTAGACTATAGACTAGACTATAGACTAGACTATAGACTAGACTATAGACTAGACTATAGACTAGACTATAGACTAGACTATAGACTAGACTATAGACTAGACTATAGACTAGACTATAGACTAGACTATAGACTAGACTGTAGACTAGACTATAGACTAGACTGTAGACTAGACTATAGACTAGACTATAGACTAGACTATAGACTAGACTATAGACTGGACTATAGACTAGACTATAGACTAGACTATAGACTAGACTATAGACTAGACTATAGACTAGACTACAGACTAGAATAGACTATAGAATAGACTAGACTATAGACTAGACTATAGACTAGACTATAGACTATACTATAGACTATACTATAGACTAGACTATAGACTATACTATAGACTAGACTATAGACTAACTATAGACTATACTATAGACTAGACTATAGACTAGACTATAGACTAGACTATAGACTAGACTATAGACTAGACTATAGACTAGACTATAGACTAGACTATAGACTAGACTATAGACTAGACTATAGACTAGACTATAGACTAGACTATAGACTAGACTATAGACTAGACTATAGACTAGACTATAGACTAGACTATAGACTAGACTATAGACTAGACTATAGACTAGACTATAGACTAGACTATAGACTAGACTATAGACTAGACTATAGACTAGACTATAGACTAGACTATAGACTAGACTATAGACTAGACTATAGACTAGACTATAGACTACTATAGACTAGACTATAGACTAGACTATAGACTAGACTATAGACTAGACTATAGACTAGACTATAGACTAGACTATAGACTAGACTATAGACTAGACTATAGACTAGACTATAGACTAGACTATAGACTAGACTATAGACTAGACTATAGACTAGACTATAGACTAGACTATAGACTAGACTATAGACTATAGACTAGACTATAGACTAGACTATAGACTAGACTATAGACTATAGAATAGACTAGACTATAGACTAGACTATAGACTATACTATAGACTATACTATAGACTAGACTATAGACTATACTATAGACTAGACTATAGACTAGACTATAGACTATACTATAGACTATACTATAGACTAGACTATAGACTAGACTATAGACTAGACTATAGACTAGACTATAGACTAGACTATGACTAGACTATAGACTAGACTATAGACTAGACTATAGACTAGACTATAGACTAGACTATAGACTAGACTATAGACTAGACTATAGACTAGACTATAGACTAGACTATAGACTAGAATATAGACTAGAATATAGACTAGACTATAGACTAGACTACAGACTAGACTATAGACTAGACTATAGACTAGACAATAGACTAGACTATAGACTAGACAATAGACTAGACTATAGACTAGACTATAGATTGGACTATAGACTAGACTATAGGCTAGACTATAGACTAGACTATAGTGCAGGTCTATAGCCTCGACTGTAGTAACTTGACTATAGTAAAGACTATAGACTCGACTATAGTCCAGACTATAGACTCAACTATAGTCCAGACTATAGACTCGACTATAGTCCAGACTATAGACTCGACTATAGTCCAGACTATAGACTCGACTATAGTCCAGACTATAGACTCGACTATAGTCAAGACTATAGACTCGACTATAGTCAAGACTATAGACTCGACTATAGTCAAGACTATAGACTCGACTATAGTCCAGACTATAGACTCGACTATAGTCCAGACTATAGACTCGACTATAGTCAAGACTATAGACTTGACTTTAGTCCAGACTATAGATTCGACTGTAGTTCAGAGTATAGACTCGACTATAGTCCAGGGTATAGACTCGATTATAAGCCAGACTATAGACTTGACTTTAGTCCAGACTATAGATAAATCTTCCGTTTATAGTCTCAGGTATAGACCACTGTCGTATCATCACAGCTTTGAAACACTGCCCATATACAAACTACTTTGTTTCAGATTGAAAAACTGCCGACCGTTTATTTGACCACCATTATTTAGCTTTCAGAACCCAAAGTCCTCCCAAATTATGTCATAAAAAATCCACTTTGTTTAGAAACAATTACTAATTAATTTTTAGTAATTTGTATAAAATTTATTTCCATATTGTATAACACAGCAAATCATTTGCATTTTTTGTCGCCGGTAGTAAATATTCTATTCAACACATTATTGTCAACACAATGGCAATTTAATTTTTGATTTATATGTTTATATTTATATATATATTCTTGTTTTTTATCTCTTATTCAAATTATTTTTTTTTTAGAATTTCGTTTAAAAGAAACTTATTTGTTAGTGAGACCAACCTGTTTATATTGCTCTATGCTGGAATTGCACAATAATACTTGAACCATTTTTTGGCTGTTTTCTTAATTTAAACACTTGTTAGGAAATTAAAATTTTTAAATTTTTTCTTTTTCTTTAATTTCTTAATATTTTCTTTAAATTTTTAAGGAAATTCTTTAAATTTTTTATGATTTTATAGAATTTTTATTGGTCTTTGTTTTAACGAAAATTCACTTCTTTTGTTATTTGAAAGAAGAGCAATAAAATTGTACTTTGCTTTACTAAACCCGTTCGCGTTTGATTCATAACTGAATTTGAAATTGAAACTTCACACTTGGCGATCATTACAAACGGACGACAGCAACGACGACGACGACATTGTTGTCGCTCTTTTTTCTCTGTATTGTTTGTTTTTTGTGGTTGCTTTTGTATGGATCGCTGTTGTTGATCGTCGTCGATCATCAATTATAAAAATGTTGTACCCAAAACAAAAACCAAAGTGTAAAAAAAATATATAAAAATAATTCAAAAGAATTTTAAATAAAACAAGTAAGAAATTATAGTCGGGCGTGGCCGACCATATGATGCCCTACACCAGTTATGAATATTAAATGTGATTTATTTTTCATAATAAAGCATTTATCTTCAATATTCCCTTGTTCCGATACATTTAAGCAATTTATGGATGAAAAACTAATTTTCTGAAAGAGGCTTTATATGGGGGCTAGGGGCAAATATGGACCAAGCCCGAAAAAATTTTGTGAATATATTTATATTGACATAATATTTTATTGTGCTGAATTTCATCGCGATATTTGTGTTTATAAGCTAATTTGGGACATTCAAGTAATTTTCTGAAGGGGACTTTGTATGGGAGCTAGGGTCAAATGTGGCCCGATCTTTATGAAATTTGGCAGTGTCATCAAGACTTCTATAAAACTTAGTTGTGCCGTATTTTATCGATATATCTGTATATTTAACATAATTATGAGCTCAGAAGCCCTCTTCGGGGGGTTCTGTTGTATGGGGGCTAGGTGAAATAATGGACCGATTTTAACCATTTTCAATAGGCTTCGTCCTTAGGTCAAATAAAACGTGCGTGCCAAATTTCATCCCATTATCTTGAAAATTGCGACCTGTACCTTGCGCACAAGGTTTACATGGACAGCCAGCCAGCCAGACGGACGGACGGACGGACGGACATAGCTTAATCGACTCAGAAAACGATTCTAAGCCGATTGGTATACTTTAAGGTGGGTCTAGGACGAATATTTTTGTATGTTACAAACATCAGCACAAATCCAATATACCCTCCCCACTAAAGTGGTGTAGGGTATAAAAATTTATTTTTAACGAAGTCTAAACAAA